AATATCCATCGTTATTCATGCGTTAGGAACAACGTTAAATGTATAATACAAAAGCTTTTGATTAATTTTTTAAAAGTCTAAAACAATTTTTATGTACTGAAATAATATCTACTGCATACTCGACTACGGTTGCCAGATTTTCCGGTCTTCCTGGATTTTCCGGACTTTTTCTGACTGGCAACTGTGGCAGGACTTTGCTTTAAAAACTGTTCCTACAACGAAGTATCTTTTTCTTTTCTCACATTCTAAATGCATTTCTGTCGTTGGCAGAGTAAAAATACACGTCCTGGAATTGAAACGTCCTAGTATCTTTAGAGAAAAACTTATTCTATCCTCAAGTACCCAGAAATGGGTACTTGAACCCTGCTTTGTTATTAGTGGAGGTTGCTATGAAGTGGGTTTGCGCGTGATATATTATGCTGTCATCATAGTAGCAAGTATAAAGATTACGAATATGAAATGGCACAAGAGCCGCCCTTGACGTGCTTCCACACAGCTTTATTCTGTATATAAAGAGTGATTACCATAAATAATAAAATACAGGTAACCCCCGTATAACACGGTAGTTACATTCCAAAACATTTGCCGTGTTATGCGAATCCGTGTTATACGAAACAAAGAACTAATACGAAAAAGAGGGTTAGGTTCCAAAAATTAAAAAACATGCTAGTATATTTTCATAATTAAGATAAATATCTTCATTAAAATTTTTTTAAGTGATACATATTAATATAAATTAAACAATGTTTTCTTCGTCATCACTAAAAACACTATTAATTAACCGAGAGCGTTTTCTTTTTGGCAAGTTATCCTTATCCTCTGAGCATTTTTCTGCATTATCTTCAGATCCATGCTTTACCTTTTGCAAAATGTATGTAATTTTAGATTGCTTGCTTCTAGTTAAAAGGTCTTTATAAATTTCCTTATATGGTGCTAAGCACTTATGAAGAATAAAGCAAGTATGGAATAAGGGAAAAACATTCGGCAACATCAGAAGCAGAAGCGTCGCGATCTGGCAACATTGAAACAAGTTTCGAGAAGGACCACCTGTATCGACAGACGGCGAGAAGAGAAAATTTACATACTTAAGTACTAATAGTTCACGAAAATAATAATTTTCGTGAACTATTATTAGTTAAGTATGTAAAAATTTATTACATTTTCTGTTGTACGAGGGTTTTACCCAATTCTCGAACCGTGTCAGTGAATCCGTGCTATAAAAGTACCGTGTTATACGGGGGATGGTACCAATTCTCGAACCGTGTTAGAGCGAATCCGTGCTATAGAAGTGCCGTGTTATACGGGGGTTACCTGTACTACAATATAGTCGAATGATAATTCGATTATATTGTAGTACAGGTAACATTATTGTACAATATAGTCGAATGATAATTCGACTATATTGTAGTATTTTATTATTTATTGTACAATAATGGATTAATAATCTGTCATCAACGGCAACACTGCATACGACTAATACTACTACACATATGCAAGTTTAGATATAGTTACTGTCATTATTATTATTCTGTGAACATGCAAATGAATTTGATCGGTTATACATGGCAACGCGACACGTAAGGAAGAATACCTTTCGAGAGGACTTTCAACGGGAAACTGACCCCTATTTAAATGTTAAAAACATAAATAAAATACTGAAAACCATGTTGCCAGTCATTGACGAGGTGCGTACTCAAAAAACATCCACCAGTGTTCAGTGGTTTCTTTTTTCCACTCGGCCACTGATAGGCAACACTAAAAATTCCTTTAATTTTGTTCTTGTGGGTTGGATCATTCCAACAACACTGAGAGACGGAACGTAACGTCCTTCAGAATTATGGAAATTATAGGATAGTTGCTCGACCGGATTCGAACCCTATTCCTCCAGAGAAGTTGGCCGAGGCATTACTACTGTGACCATTTTTTAACCACCCTCGCCTAGACTCTTGGGGTAAGGAATTTTTCATATTGTATTCTTATTTATGCAAATTACAAATTCATTGGAGATATTAAAGGATTTATAGAGTAATTTCTCATTTCAAATTATAATCAATTAATATCTTCTCGACGGCCAATGTCTACAGGAATTTCAAAGAGAAAAATTGCCTTAAATGAAACGTCTTGTGAAATGGTGTGGAATTATCAATGTGGAATCAATTGAAGAATTCTAAAACTAGATGTTCTGTCCACTAATTTATCATTTTTTGATGATTAATTTAAATGTAATGAGGATCATTATTAGCTCTCGTCTCATGGCATAATCTTCCATGAGATTATGCCATGCCCTTTCTATACAGATGTATACAACGAAAATACCCTATTTTACATTTGATTTTGTAAATCGCGAATTTTCAAATATTTCATTAAGTTTATAAGGACCGGATCAAGTCTGAGTATTGAACTTATGTTCATGCCTGCCACAGGCCTTTCGTCTTCAATATACTGTAGTTCTATTGATTCAGTATCGATCAGAAAATATCCAAAATTGCGTATAAAAATGTATATACTTAAACGATGCTTAATTAAAAGACACCAGACGTATGTTCAAACAGTGAACTGTATGAATTCATTTATACTGAAAGTTATACAGAATGATAAAGAAATTACAACCTCCAAGAAGTTTAATTTTGGACTCGGGGACCTGCAAACGTCGAGAAATACAAGGATATTCGAGGGTTTTTTGTATGTATGAATGTTAGTGTACAGTATATATGTGTGTGGGTGGCAAGAATTTCTTCACCCAATTTGAAGCTTAATAACTCCTGTGCCTTTTATCAAAAATTTCTGAAATTTTGTAGGGAGGTTTCTCTATTAGGTGAATCGAAGCTATTAAATTTTGGTGGTTAAAGATCAAAGAGGTGGGGAGATAGAGGGTTTCGTTTTATTCATATACGGCAGCGCGACGAATGGACAATCTACCGAGGGGGGAATGCTTTCTTCAGAGGTCTTTTAAGGAAAACTATCCCTATTTTTGGTGTTAAAGCAGAGAACACCCGGAAAACTCCACGTGGCCAGCCCGTTGGCGAAGCGCAAACCTACGCACACCCACATAACTCGCTCGGTGTTTGCGGTCATATTGTTTTTGATTCGTTGGTACTGTACATGTGTTCGTAATCTTGCATTTAGTTATCGTCAGTTAATTATTTAATTGTTAACGCGATACAGTCTTCCACATTTCTGGGAGAAAACAAAGCGACAGCTCCAATAGCGTTAGTGTTTGTTATATAGTATTTTAACAGAATGGCTTGGATGCCATACGCTAACACAGGATGACCTCCAAATAAAAAGGAAAACCAACAGTAGAAAATTTTCCAAAAATCATTTCCTAATCAAAATTCATTTATTTGATTATGTCCTAATTACCTTGTATTTCAAGAGCAACTTTCTTTTCATTTTTGACTTCCGTTCTGTGGGCACGGAAGCGGCCTTTCTCTATGCCCAATATGGATTCGACCAGGCCTTACAGGTGCTGCCAGTAGTGATAGACAGGCGAATGAACTCATCATGGCCAACGATTGGTTGGTTCAACAGGATAAAACACTAGGGGAAACTCAACCACAAAATGACGACGACCTGTTTTCGAACCCGGATCCTGAGCTGCAGGTCCGCATTAAGGTTGTAAATTGTTCTAGACAACGAACAGGAGGATTTAAATACTTCTGTAACTGTTACAGCTCGGTGCCAAAAGAAATTACATAACATAGAACGGACCCTTTCCCTCCACTAAATAATGATGCACGTAAAACACGAGAGGCCTTAATCTATGGCTTTTGTGCAAATTCGGTTTTATACACAGTAACCCAAAAGTCAGTTAATCGACATCTATTTTATCTCGGTTAATTGACTTTTGGACGGCCCTAAAGTTTTCTTCTTGGAAATTTGATCTTCATTGATATAGCTACGATTTAGCCGAGTCATAAAATTAGTCGAATTCAGTGTTACTAGTTAAAAGCTACACAAGTCCATATCTATCCAAATGTTTACATTATTAACAAATCCCTAAATGGATTGTTTACAGTATTCTCCCATTGTCTCAGAATTTACTCAACCATTAAAGCAATTAAACTTCTATTTAGTGCCTCATATGTTCATCCCCGAAGTTTGCTCTAAATCGAAATACTCCAAACTATGCAAAATTGTAGTAATTAATCGCTGAAGGTTCTCTAATATTAACGGAGAGGATCCCGTTCCCAAGTACTCGTAGGCACTCTACGAAGAGGGCGTTATATTGAGGTTTACTTATAAGAAATATGTTACCAATATATATTCTAATTCGATCTCCAAAGTTTAAAAATAACGACTATATTTTGGGGTGTTCAAATTCATTCTGGAATGGTTCCAAACTGTGCATTTCAAATTCACACGTGACAGGGAAGTAAACAGCTGAATGACAACTGTTCGCAGGTCATTCACTCGTAATCGAATCATCCTGGCATTAACAAATAAGGAAAACGAATCAAATCATCACACAGGGGTGACCCGAAAGTCAGTTAACCATTCTATAAACTAAATTGCCGTAGTTATGAAACTTTAATTGTTCGAATTGAGATCCTTCTCGTGTTAACGGATGCTGGAACACATACAACGCGGTTAACTGAATTTAGAGTCACCCTGTATAGTGATTTTACTACTTTAAAAGAACTAACTTCATGAAGAATAATTTTCTCACTACATTACCATTGTTAAGCGCGTGGCACACGTTTAACATGGTTTTAAATCAGTGGCTAGTCTGACTGAACGGTGGTAGATGGTCGTGGGTTCGCACCTGACCGAGCTGGATGAGTGTTATCTTCACGTATTTAGCAACTATACGGGGTCAATTTTTCATAGAAATTCCTCCCTTGTGTTCTGTCGTCCTGATCAAAGTAAACCACAACATTTGGCATGTGCCTGGTAATGGCAGCTGGATTAGGCATACGGTTTTTGCCATTGCTCTATCCATTTTTCACACCGAATAGCTTCTTTACGTTCGAACGTAACTGAAAATTGATTAATTTAAATAAAAATTCGAAAGTTTTTTTTTTATTATAATTTACCTATACAGCCTTTTTAATTTACAGTAATTTTTGGTCCTCTTTAAAAATTACGCTATTCTTAATCCGACAATATATGGTATCATTGCAAAGCCCACAGGCATTTCGCAGCATATACAATAAAACCTGTCCAAAACGGGAAAAATTCTTAGGAAGGCAGCTATTTAAAAAAAAAAAAAAACCTGTTCGAAACGAAAAAATAAAATAAAATTCGGTACCGCGCGAGTCCGTCTTACACAGGTTTCACTGTATATATTTTTAATTAATTAATAAGATATATATATATAAATACAGACCCATTCATGTTATATTCACTAACATATTTTTACACCACTCAATGTGCAAAAAAAATACATTCTTCTACGTCACTGTGCAGGAAAAACACTTAAAACACTTCTTTAATTGTTGGAATTTTACGTTTAGCGCTTCTGAAAATGTTACAAAATTCTTTTTTTTTTTTTTAAATTTTGGAAATAAAAACATCCTCGCAGGACAATTTTTTTTTGAAAATTAATCCTTTGCTAATTGTATTTTTATTCAAATTTTATAAAAAATTCAAACCAATACAAGTTTGATCATTGGCATTTGTTTTTTAACAGGAGGGAAGGGGAGGAGATTTATGCAAATTACACACTGCTCGATGCGTTAAATGATATATAAATTAATTTAAAAAAAACATTAAGTGAATATCACTCGAGATTTTTTTAAAATGAAAGTGTGAACAGTAAACACAAATTTGAGCCATTTGAGCAAATACTTTTTATATATAATTATACTATAAACGACACAAGTGGAGACATACTTGCAAATTAATTTGCATAACAGTATAAGTTTCTTTTCGTATGCGTTAAAACTTAAAGAAAAAAAAAACGAAAATATGTTATTTACACATTCTTTAAGAGCCGAATTAAACGTCTGGGAGTGATCCAAAATTCGATTAACCGCCGTAGACTGCTGCCTGGTCACCGTGCTGCTCTATGTTTTAATATAGCGTCGTAAGCGCCGTTTACGGTCGACCGACTTTTGGGCCACCCCGCATGAAAACAAGGAGAAAGAAAACAATAAACCTTCTTAAATTAAAAACAACTGTCGTTAAATTTAAGCGATGGACAATTATTTAGAGGTTCTCCAGAGAGGTGCAATATATATATATTTATGTTCTTTTTTCTTTTGTTAATGACGAAACCAATACACAAAGCTTTTATATATATAATGTAGAACACTTTTTTGCATCTCCACACAGTGCTACTAGATAATGCATCAGTTAAGTCTCTCAACCAATATAACTGCATATATCTAAAAATTATATACTTAACGGTAAAACGAGGTTGGTTTTGCTTTTTTCTTTTTTTCAATTGTAATTAAACATTTCACCGCACGCGCAGGCCTGGCAGAGTATTTGGAGCGGCCATTATACACGGGATTAAATAAAACAGGCCTAAGTATATGTTGAGTTTCGCAGTTTGTTTTGGCAGTGTTAAGAGAAGGCCGCTGCGAAACTGCTTCTCTAAGTCGAGCGCCTTTGGAAAAGTGATTAATGGTAAAAGAAACCATATACTGACGTGTAAACTCAGTATGGTAAATAAAATGTATGGTACAAAAAGGAGAACCGCAAACAATATATGAGAACCGGTGTAACCGATCAGAACTGCCATAGTTACAGCACCAGCGCGGCTATCACTTTCCATGTCGCGTGTGTTGTTACAGTGTAGAACGGCCTCCGTGTTTAGCGCCAGTGGTACAGCGTAGAAAAGCGTAACCAGATCTATGTAGCCGGCCTGGGAAACGAACGAGAAGAGGACGCTGATTGGTCCGAACGTCACCAGAATCAGCAGGTCGCCCAGGCCGATGTACTTCAGGCCAATGCCACCGGTGTAGAGAAACGAGCTGGAGAGACCCCCGAAATACACCAGTGCCAAGTGTTCCATTTTGGCCGGCGACAGTAGCACCAGCATTATAAAGCCGAAACAGCCGAGTATGTATAAAAGCGCCCCCAGGTGAACGATTTCGTCGGGGGTGAGAATCTTGTCCACCAATGTCCTGTCGTCGCTTCTCTTGCTGTCGATCCCTTTCTGGTAGTCGTAGTAGGTGTTGACAGCATTGCCGGCGGCGTGCACCGACAGGGCAGTTAAGCAAGTCACGAGGAAGACAACGATGTTGAATGATCCGGAGCTTTTGTAAGCCAGGGCAGCTCCTAGAGCAACGGGTGTTAGGGAGGCACTGAAGGACCATGGCCGTAGAGCGAGCACATAGGTGGATAGCTTGTGTGGTATGTACTTCATCTGGGACGTGTCTGACGAAGACCCGGGCACGTTCTTTGTGATACCGCCTTTGACTGATACGTAATCATTGCTGTGGTTAGCACAGTCCATTATCATAACCTTGAAAGTCTCTTCCGAACTGCGGAGCCTAAAAAAGAGAAATAAGAAAGGTTACTAAAGTAACAAAAAGGCTAAAAAATTACATAACGGCTCTTGATATAGCGAATGGTCTACTGAGAGTTCACTATATATCGAGTCCGCTGCGTTATAAACGATACGATGTAGATACATATTTCGATCATCCTACGATATACACAGTGAAGATAACTGCTAATATTTGACTAGGCCATAATAAATAAGGTATGAGGTAGCCCAAAAATTATTTAACTATGTGTCATTTGTGCACTAAACAGTCCCTAATCTTTCTTTTCGAGAAAGTGTCTGTCCCAGGTCCCATCTTTCTTCTTCACCCGGCCGTCCCAATTGTGGGCCTGGCCGAACCCACGACATTGCGATTGAGAAAGATCCTCTCAGTGCCCACAGGGTGGAAGGTGTCAAAAGTTTTTCTCTTTTCCACTCAGCATTGTTAGCTATACCTTTCCATGTAAAGAAAGTAACAACCCCTATGTTTAAGTGATGAAAATATATATATTGCATATGGGCACTGCTGCACTAAGCGGAAAAGGTGTTGTCGTATTTACGGTAGAAGAGAGAAGAATGTTAAACAAACGGGAGCAAACAATTTATCACGTGAAACGATGCTTTTGTTGGAAAGCTGGCAGACATACGTGAGAAATGTTTAAAGAGCGCGCATTAATTGATGGTGCTTACATTTAAATAGCTTCTCTACAAGAAAAAAGAAGGCAGAAAAATCACTGTTTGTATATGGCAACACGACACGAGGACGATCTGCCGAGGGTGATACCTCTCGGGAGGACTTTTTATAGGAAATTGGCTTGTATTTAGGTGTTACAAACACGAAGAAAACCTGAAATACTCTATGTGACAGCTCGTTTATCAGGCGCGAATCAACGACCAACTATCAATGTTCGGTGGTTTTANACGTGGCCAGCCCGTCCGAGCGAGGTGCGAACCCACGACCGAACTCCTAGTGTTCAGGATACGAAGACCGCTTAGCCACTGGTGGGCACAAGGGAAAGTACTCCCCCGGATTCGAACCCAGTCCCCCAAAGCGGTAGGCTGACATCCTACCCACGCCAACTTGGAAAGTTTAAGAATTCTAGATTAGGAAGAAAGTAATAATCTCGGGTATTTTCCATCAAATTACACCTTTAAAAGTTTCGAAAATTATCAGAATTTTCGACTAAGACTTCCATACCCTTTTCTTGGATATGGAATAGTTACAAGGAAAAGTTTAGATCTGGATCTAATTATTGCAGAGAAGCATTACAGCTTAATTACTTGCAATAAAACTGAGCTTTAAAAGCATACCGTATCACACCGTTTTTCTAATAAAAACAAATAGGTTAACTGTTTAGCTGATAACAGTTCTTCGACTGTAAATACAGAAATATCGTTACTGTTAAAGTCCCTATCCTGTAACACAGGATAAGATTAAGTTCAGAATTCCCTCTTCCCATTTTAAAGAAGCAATTACCATTTTTCATTTACGCGGTTAACCGTGTTCTGAATGAGTATTTTTAAAGGTGTTGTCGTATTTACAGTAGAAGAGAGAAGAATGTTAAACAAACGGGAGCAAACAATTTATCACGTGAAACGATGCTTTTGTTGGAAAGCTGGCAGACATACGTGAGAAATGTTTAAAGAGCGCGCATTAATTGATGGTGCTTACATTTAAATAGCTTCTCTACAAGAAAAAAGAAGGCAGAAAAATCACTGTTTGTATATGGCAACACGACACGAGGACGATCTGCCGAGGGTGATACCTCTCGGGAGGACTTTTTATAGGAAATTGGCTTGTATTTAGGTGTTACAAACACGAAGAAAACCTGAAATACTCTATGTGACAGCTCGTTTATCAGGCGCGAATCAACGACCAACTATCAATGTTCGGTGGTTTTATCCACTCGGCCGCTGGTGGGCTTTTTTACTCAAATTTCATTTAAAAATTGGTAAAATAAATACAATAATGTCGAAAACACATCTCCACTCTAAAATCAGAGTTATTGCTCACCAGTGGCCGAGTAAATAAAACCACAGAACACTGGTCGTGGGTTCGAGCTTGGCCAGAGAGATGGCCACGTGGCGTTTTTCGGGTATTCTTCACGTTTGTAACATCTAAATAGGGATCAGTTTCCCTTAGAAAGTTCTTCCAAAAAGGGCTCTCCCACGACAGATCGTCAATGTATACAAACAAAACAGTTATCCCCCATTTTATTTTACTTCCGACTTTCTGAAGTTCAATAAAAGTCAAGCAAGTAAACAACAGAAAAAAATCCTCTCCTATCTTTCTATGTCTGCACGTGTGTATGTATTTAAGAAATGAAATATAAATCTTATTTATTAATTAAATACATACGCACAGACACACGCACAAAACACACACGAATTAATTTTAAATCAAATTTTAATAAGAGAAGGTCCAATTGATTGATTTATTCTAAAATGGAAAGCAATTAACAGCGTTAAACCAAACGAAATTCGTTTTACCCGCGATTTTATCATTAAAATCTTTAAAGAAAAATTGTTCTTTACAAGACGATCGAAGAAATGCACAATAGTTATTAATCTAAATTAACAATTGCTGCTGCCAAGTCCAGATCGCAAAGAAAAATTAACTTATAGGGGATACAAGAGAAAAATTACAAGAAGAATCCGAAAATAAATCGATGAATTAAAGTGCCTACCGAGCATGAAATTAGTTCGATCTCTGGACAAACTTCTTTTTCCTACGACAGGAAAAACCGAATTTAAATTTATTGTGGTCCTAGGTGTAACGTGGAAGAGGCCTTCCTTCTCCAGTAAACAGTAATAAGTTCAAAACCGTGAGGCCCTGCACTGTATTTTCTAATCGGCCCTATGCTGCCTCGCTCCTCTTGCACAAGTACTGTACTGATTTCTGGAATACACGGTGCGAGCCATTCGAGTTTTAAGATTAATTCTTTGCCAGAACAGTAGGGCCAACGTGTTAATTAAATACTACAAGCAGCAACTAGTGAATTACGTATAGTGTAAGCCGTGTTTCTGTTGTTGCGTCACGAATTCAGATAGCCAACAAAGAATTGCGACTAAATTTTGTTTTAAAGCGGGTCTTTCTGACTTAGCAAAGAACAAAGTCACGGATTATAGCAGAGTCTTTGAATGCCCCCCAAAACGGCTGTTCCTCGTGTTCTGAATGAAGATTTGAGGCAGAGGAAAGCGCGTGCTCGTTTTGTCCCACGTGCCTCGATAGCCGAACAAAGATGGAGTCGTGTCTCGCAGGATATCATGGCGACGGATGATGCAAAAGGAAATTTCTTTGATAAAGTCTCGAGATTTTGCGTGTTCCCTTACGATCCTGAAACCAATGTGTTGGCGAGAAATCACCCAGACCAAAGAAGTTTCAAGTCATTGATTTAGCGCCATCATTCGCTCGTCCCGAAACTTACACTAAACCCAAGAAGCACCTCCAACAATAAGAATTATACTTTATGTACTGTACGAACGAGATCTACAGCTAAGTTTTGGGTGTATTCGCAAGCCACGTGATTAGCAACGCAAAATCTGCATTTCGTAATTTCTGAGGAAGCAATACAATTATCCATTGAAGCTTTCCGAGGGTGGCGTTATATCGAAGTTTGACTGAAGTTAACTTCCGTACAAAAGTTAATTATTGTGTTCCTCGTCAAATTTTCGCAAGGTTATTAAGAAAATTTGACGTGTTAGCTGCAGAAGTATTGATTTCACTTCGGTTTATTTTTGTCCCAAACTCCATGTAATACAAAATTAAGTTCCGATACATAAATTTGCATATTTCTAACGTTGAATATTAAGTGCGAAGACTTAAATTAGGTCGATAATACGCGTATCACGTCTCTTTACACAATAAGGTATTGATTAGTATACTTGATAGTACAAAAATCAGTTAACTGAGGATATAAGAGGACTTATTGCAGAAGCATTTGCAAGTTTAGATAGGTCCTGGCTACAAGATTGAATAAAATGTTAGAGCATCTTATTCAATCTTGTAGCTAGGAATAAATCATTGGGGGCTAAATTAATAAATGAGAATAAATTGTACAGGCCTATAAATAACTCAGTATTAATAAAACTGCCTACAGGAACACCTACAACTTTAACTTTTTTTTTTTTGCCCTTCCAAGCATAGTATGGGTGATTATTATTAATTCAATCTGTTAAAAATAAGATTTACAATGTAAGGAACAAGGGTGGAAGCACAATAAAAAATTAATACTTACACACCACACAAAGAAAACAAAGTTTTTATGGATGATTAGTATCTATTTTTTCTCTTTTCCACTCAGCATTGTTAGCTATACCTTTCCATGTAAAGAAAGTAACAACCCCTATGTTTAAGTAATGAAAGTATATATATTGCATATGGGCACTGCTGCACTAAGCGGAGGGTTAACATATTTTTTATGGGATCAAAGCCAATCAGCACTTGAGTACAAGAAGTATCTTCAAATAGGAGAAGAAGAGAGAAGGAACAATAAGATAGACAAAGAGTCTTGACAGAACAAGTGCAAGCAGTACCGTAACTAGCAATTCCTGTGCCCTATGCAAGAATTTGCATTTAGGCTCCTTAATTAATTAGGTTTGGAAAATAAAACAAATACATTTCAAGGCCCCCCTTTCAAGTGGTCCCTGTGCGAGTGCACCTGTTGCATCTGCCTAGTTACGGCACTGGGTGCAAGTCACCTCATAGCCTGACCCTAACTTCAATAACTTAAGTAAAGAAGAAACTAGGTAAAACTCTCTTATTTTGAAATACCTAAACAATATAATTTATAACACTTTGTCCAAGTTTTTCCTAATAATTTAAAATTTTGTAATAATTTTTCATTTTAGAAAAGAATTTTACTTATAATTTATTGTGAAGTGCAAGGAAGACAAAAAAAGAAGGAAACTAGAGCAAATTTTTGTCAGAATCTATTCTTAAATCCTTCACTAGATCCAAGGCTGATTATTATTAGAGTAAGACTCTACTTTGATTATCAAAAAATT